TACACTTGTTTATTATTCATCAAAGGTTTTGACAATGTTCACCATTTCCACCTGAGCATTTGTGGGTTATAAACTAACTTGAAGTGTCTACAGAGTGTGTCCAAGCTAATAATTAGCATGAAACAAACTGCATTCCTTGTGTCAGAGACATCTCATATGTGCATCAGTGCACCTTGAAGGTCTGCTAGTATGGTGCACTTCTGCCAAATTCCGAAGCCCTTTCCCAGTTTTTACTGAGGGAGGGTCATACTTGAATGAAGACTAAAGTTCAGTAGTAGTATAGTCAAAAAAGACCCAATGTCAGTACTATTTAGCCTTCTATTACAGAGGGCATGAGCGAATTGTCTTTTACAGGAATGTCTTTTGGTATCTTCAGTTTCCCAAGGAAAATGTGCTTAACAGGATCCAGTAAAAAGACTGTTTATCTAAAAACAGAGCAATGCTGGGACTTCAATACTAGCCAGTTGTGCTCATATCTGTAAAATTAGACTAATTATTTAAAAGAACCATGGCTCTCTGAATCAGAAATTAGATCCTGGACCTTGAATATATGCCACACCATAGATATCATTATTTTATGTAGCACTTCTCAAAATGCTGGGGGTAGGGAAAGCTGCATCAGTTGGATTTATACTAGCTCTCTGCTGCAAACTTGCTCCTGTAGCTATAAAGAGCGGCAGGGTAATTGAGCATGAGTCTACCTACCTTCTTTACCACTGCTGCCCCCGTGCTTCTATCCAGGTGAACACCCCCTCTGTAGAGGGCTTCAGGAGCCAGCAGCAGTACAATGACATATCTTCCTCTTTGTATTTCTGCAGTACTTGGGTAATCCACAAGACTGCCTCTGGCCTAACCCCACTGTAGCCACAGATTGTGTTTATGATCTTTGGAAAAATCAGTGAATCATTCTGTGCTCCATGATATCATCTATAAAGTGAGGCTTCCTTATTTTGCGAATGCACAAAAAAGTTGGACCCAAAAATGAAAGACAATGGCAACTGTTCTAGGACATGGCACAATAAAGGAGCTCCCCAAGTGCTAACTGTGCCACCCAAGAGATAGAAGGGAAGCAGTGATTAAAGATCTGTCACGTCACCTATCAATGAATATGATTGTGTGTCAGTGACAATTTTATACATAGCAATAGCAACAGCAAAGCTTCCATTGACTCCAACAACAGAAGACTAAGCTCTAAATGAGCGAAATATTTGCATATTAATTTAGGATTCAATTTATTAATTTTTAAAAATCCCTACGAGACACAAGCTGTCCCCCATTTTCTATTTATGTGCTCCTCAACATAATTCAGGGGGAATTGTTTTGGTGGATCAACAGAAGTAGCTGCTAAAATATGATGCCATTTCCATGAAATATAATTGTACGTGCATTTTTTAGATGGTGCAAGCCTTTTTATAGCTGTATAGATGGCTACTCTTTTTTTTAACTCATCTTCCTTTTAGCTGATATAAGCTTGCCTTTTTACTAAGGTCGTATTGCAAAACACTTACTATCAATATTTCTAACCATAATTTAGATTGGCAAGCCTGAAAATGTCTGAAATAAAACCAAAACATTGTGTTGTAACAGGTACATGGTATCCAACAATTTAAATACAGCACACACCAAATAACCCTATTCATTTTTTACCCAGTTATCTGAACAAAGATGTTACTCTAGTAAGTAACAAGCATAGAGAGCAATTCAGATCAGCAATCACATTCTGTCCCTGGATTTGCATCCTAGGCAGGAACCATCTCAGATGAAGGATACAGCTAGTAAACATGAACAGTGTGAAAGAGAAAACAGCCAATGCTCTGAGTGGAATCAAAGCATCCTGTTTCCTTGAGAGACCCTATGATGTGGCAATTCTCTCCCCAAAACAGATTCTACTAAAACCATTTGTGTTGTAAAATGTATTTAAATGCCATATATAACATAAGAACAAGCCATCAACACTCCACCTTCAGCCTAGCTCATGCCCTTCATAAAGTTTGCTATTGCCAGTAAAACACCTTACAAGCAATAAAACCATCAACCTTAGTATTACTGCATGAATCCACATTGCTTTCCATGCTGGCTGACAGTGCCACTGATTCTCAAGACACAAAACCCATGGGAATTCAAATTTGACCCTAGATCCCAGAATTCTATGGGCTTCCAACATATATACCTCAATGTGCTCCGCGAACAAGGTCCAGAATGCTGTGCATTTATTTTTTTCTTTATAATGTTTAGTGTGGCCTTGACCCCTTGGGCCATACCCCATTAAGGACTCTCAGAAAGAGGGAGGTGCAACCTTAGTGCTTAGGAGCTAAGGAGCCAGGATCTGGGGCTAGGAGAAGAAACAGTATGATCTTGAGGTTGTCCACATCCACCGCATGCTCAGCAGTAGCACCCGCTCGGCTGTCTGGAGGCATTGCTGCTGAGCATGCTCCATGTCCCATGGACCTAAGCATAGCTCAGACTTCTGAGCCCACGTGACCAGTGACATGGCTCCAGAGGTTCAGACTTGCAGGGATTCAAAATGGAAAGCCAAGTCCTCAGTTTTGGGTTTTGCCTCAGTCCAAAAGGCTAGAGTGTCTGTGTTTATGGTTGGCTGTGCCTGACCTAAATCCAAATGAGGCGATGAGGAGCCTGCCCACAGCCCAGCCCATTTCCCTGCAAGGGTGCAAAGCCAGCAAGGGGTAGCATTCAGGGGAAGCAGAGCAGGGATCAAAAGGTCCACAGCTGAAGGCCCAGTGATCAGCTTGCTAGCCTCCCAGGCCCTCAGTTACGGAGACCCACAGCTGCCTTGGCCAAGCAGACCCTCCTGGCTTGATGTGGCTTTTTTTCCCTAAATGGAGAGCTTGACTCTTGTCAGAGTCAAGCCAACAGGGTTTCTTGGGGGGGAGAAGTGTCCTTTAATGTCAAAATTTGATATAATTGAAGTAAATGTTAGATCTCTCACTGACACCTGTAAGATCAAAATTTGGACTTAGTTTCATAGTTTCTAGGGTCGGAAGGGACCTGAACAGATCATCTAGTCCGACCCCCTGCCATGGCAGGAAGAGCACTGGGGTCAAACGACCCCAGTAAGGTGGTCATCCAACCTCCTCTTAAAAAACCCCAGGGTGGG